TGAAAATCAGTCTATAAAATATAGAAAATTAGTCTATAAAATTTAGAAAATCAGTCTATAAAATATAGAAAATTAGCCTATAAAATATTGAAAATCAGTCTATAAAATATAGAAAATTAGTCTTCAAAATATAGAAAATCAGTCTATAAAATATAGAAAATTAGTCTATAAAATTTAGAAAATCAGTCTATAAAATATTGAAAATCAGTCTTGAAAATCCCTTTTAAGTTGTCCTTCTGCAGAATGGAGATCTCATGCTCTACACTGCAGCTGGAAGAAGAAATATTCTGGAGAAGGTATACGATTTTTTTTGTTAGGGTTTAAAATCATTTTGTTTTACTCGAAAAATCGATCAAGTATTTTGATTTTTAGGGAGGAAATATTTTATTAAAAATCACCCCTAAACTAAGAATCATTTTCTCCCAAACATGATCTGGGTTATTTTTTAAGCAGAATTTCATGTGAACCTCTACACTTAAAAAAGAACGATATATTTTAAAGCCTTGACTGATCATTGAGGACAGAGATGTGTGTTCAACACTTTATTAATGTGGCCATAAAACTAGAGTTCACACTGTACGTCAGCGTACAGTGTGAACTCAACTCACCCAACTGTACAGTGTACACATATTCTCTTTCTGAGCCCAAAACTTAAGACAGAGTATTGTTATGAAAACCATTTTGATATTTAAAATGCTCGCCTTTTGATGCATATGGAAATAAACTTTAATCAATCAATCATTCATAAATAATTCGGGTTTCACGAATGAGGTTAGGCAGTTTTGTTATGAAATATTTTTTAATTTAGAATTTTCATACTCTCCATTTTTTTTAAAATCTCTTAAAAAAAATCTACACAAATTTTAATACCCCATAAAGGAAACTCAGAAGTTTCGTTCAACGATACTCTTTTAAAGTTCGGGCTCTGTAAAGTAATAAGGATACCTCTGTCATCCTTGATCGGTATTGCAATTTTTCTCTGGGGGGGGGGGGGAATTATTTTTGTAGCAGGAAAAGTGTAAAATAAAAGTTGTAAACTTTTAAATTTGCAGGTTGTAAGCTGTACAGTGCACAATGATACAGTAACTGCATATACGGACTATCTTGGATTGTACACTGTTTCTATAAAGGTGGAATTTTTTCTTATTCGTTAAAGGGGCTGTAAGCATAATTTCAGGTGACCCTCTCTTCGCAACCTTATCGTTAAAACCTTTATCTGATCAATAATGTGAAAGATATTGTCGTTTTTCAAGGTTAAAAGTTTTTAATTCTGATAATTTTTATGTTTCCCTGTGGTAGAAATGCTTAGACTCTTTTGTAGAGAAACCACGATTAAAAATGATTATTTTAAAAAATTTTAAACATTGATATTTAATTCATACTTTATCAAACAACGCCTTTAAAGGGACTGTAAAGGAAAAATAAAAGGAGGTATAGGATGAAACCTGAGAATATCAGGCGGTGAACGGTAAGACATCTATCTGATGTTTCTGTCTCTAGAAATTGATAAAAATCTGTGTCTTTATACGAAAATTCATATTTATACAATTTTGTCTTATATGTATCGTTCAATGCTTGAGATTCTCAGGTTTTATCCTATACCCTCTTTCATTTTTCCTCTACAGTCCCTTTATGGTTAACGTTTTAAACCGGGCTTTGCCATCTTTGCACTGAAAGTAACTTGAAATTTCGCTTACAGTCCCTTTAATAGCCCAAAAATTAAAAATATATCATTCATAAAATATTTAAAAGAAAAATGTCTCAAAAAAAATCTAGACAGGAAACTAAAATCAAAATAGCATCCGGATTGGTTACTAAAATTACTTATTAACATTAAGCCTCAATGCTCCCTTCCTGTCAAAAACACCTTGTTGTATATCTAATTTGCTCGAGGAAACGGCAGCCACAAAAAATGTCCCAGCTTTCTTTTCATATTTTGCATTTAAGAATTTAAAATAGGGACAGACTGACGTTGCGCCGCCCNGGCTTAGATGAGGATAAAGAAAAGTATCTGGTTTCCGGCGCAGAAACTTTAAGCAGTATATTCACAGCTTCTAGGTAGCTTGTTATTAAAACCGGTTTTGAGCTGCAGGAACTTTTGACCGAAAGAGTTAATCTTCTCACTTTTGACTGAGTTTTGAGACTTAAAAGCAGGGCTTAGGATCCGCAAGATTTTGTCGTCCTGGATCCGGATCCGGTTCCGCAAAAAATATGCGGATCCACGGATCCGGATCCAAGGGTAAAATATTAATCAAAACCTACAAAAACAAATTACTCTCATAACCCAAATCTGAACTAAGGAAAAAGAGAGATTAAGAAAATTTCCTGATTTCTGAATGGTTCATCATGTGCTGGAGACATTGTTTGAGTGAAAATAGTGTTATAAATAGTTCCTCAATGAATCTATAGACTCACAGATGTTCTCAATATACCCCTAATTGGGGTCTAGAGATTAATTCACCAAATAACCAAATAAAAATAAGCGAAAAAATAAGACAACAAATTTGAAAATTCTGCTTTGATAATAAATAGTTCAGTAAATTTGAATTAAAAAAACCTGGATCCGGATCTGGGTTAATCCAGTGCGGATTCAAGATCCGGATCCGCATCAAAATTAAATGTATCTAAAGCACTGCTTTAAAAGGAATGTTATCGTAATGTTAGCGACCGTCCATACAAAACCGTATATCCTTGAAACCTTTATTTGATCTTGTTATTGTCGTTTTCCTAGGTTTAATAGTGCATAATACTGATTGATGATGATTCCAACATGTTTTCCTGCTGTAGAAATGCGCAAGTCACATTTGTGGAGAAACAACAATTTAATAAAATCATTATTCAAATTTTAAACATTGATCTATTTCATACTTAATCCGGCAAAGCTTTCAAGGGTACCGTTGTGAATCGATCTTTGCATAGAGGGTCTTTTGAAATTACGCTTACAGTCCCTTTAATTAATGATAAATAAGCATCAAGAAACCCACCCCGGAGGAGATATCTCATTGGTCTGAATATTGATTTAAACATTCAAAGATAGGTTGCTCGGTCCACGAAACAAGAATTCCGTTTGTTTATTTAAAAGTTCCAAGCTCAAAATCTTTTAAAGGTTTGAAAAAAAGCCCGGTAAAAATTAACATCGGCATACTTGAAGTAAATATAATAATGATTTTATTTTGGAAATTATGATCGGACAAATCATAATAGAATAAAATTTTCATTGATTTTGATTGGTCAACCGTTCTCTGTAGAAGTAACTCTGTAACTCTAAAATTATTTACATTTGAATAATGCATTTTGGTAATTTACACGCATTTCTTTTCTGTAACTTTAAAGAAATATTATTTATATATCCAATATTTTATCGATTTTATCGTGATATCTTACAACTTTCATGTTTTTGTCAACTATGATGGGCAATGGGCATTTTAGTTGCTAGACAAATTTGTTTTATTTTATTAGTCAAAATCTTTACTCTTAAAAAAGTCTTTTGAATACCTTTGATCAGCGAAAAAATTTCGCATAATGAAATAAAAGCAAGGTTATTGAGAAAACAATTGAGTTCAAATGACATTGCAACTCGTATTTAGATGTATCCAGGATACAGGGTTAGAGCTCGCAAAGGAGAAAATAAAGTTGAATCAAATTCAATTATTCAGGTTTACATTTGTAACACTATCTATATAATAAAACGAGACATTCATATATATATATGTTGCTTATGCAGGCCAAACGGCTGGACCGATTGGGCTGTAATTTTTTTCAATTTTTTTCCCACGGGCTAGTTTTACTTATTTAAGGCTTTCAAGGGGCTTCGCGTCCATCTTGCAATAATTTTAACTCTGAAATTTGGTTTAAAGGGACCATTCACTTATTTGGGTAGTTTCAGGGTAAACTAAACAGCCTATTCGCTGTTGATTGGTAATAGTCTGACAACTGTGGCCGGAGAAAAAGCCGATTTTTCGTTCAGAATTCGAGCATATTCAACAGTCAATAGGCTGTTTAGTTTACCATGAAATTACACAAATAAGTGAACGGTCCCTTTAAAGGTTTTAACATATATTGAAGAAAAAACTGTCAAGCTAATTAATTTTACCGTAGGGGTTGTTCGTAAAACATTAACAGGGTGTACTGACTACTGACACCGTATTCTGAAAGATAATTTAGAAAAACATTTCCTATACAGACCCCATTAATGCTCTGGGCAAACTTAATGTTTTTACTTAAACAAGAAAAGTGTTGCAGACACATATTCACTTTTAAACGAATACTCCATTTGATAGAAAATTCAATAATTTTGGTATATTAGATGAATAGCCCATAAAGTACAGTTAGTTAAGTGTCTTTTTAATTAGTTTTATAAAATGTTTTTTTTAACGGTCCAAAATTATATATATTTTTTTTTCAGCAAGGTGTCGGAGGGGAATCCATTATTCTCTACGTCTATATCCGTTCAGCAGAACCTGTTGTTGGATTCTTATCCGTCTATAAAGGTCAATAATACTTAATATTTTTTCTTTGAAGTATTAGAGCTTCAGCGACACCTTTAGATTTAGGTTTAAAAGATTAAATAGATTTGTCACTTAACAATTTTATTTTGTTAGGTGATTACTTTGACTGGAATTCGACCATGATTTGCAGTGTATAGGCTCAATTTCATTTCAATGCGGATCCGGACCCAGGTCCAAATCCTAGACTCACCTTGAACAAAAAGATCTGGATCCAGTTAATGAAAATTACTTACTATTATTTTTTGAAAAATTAATAAAGGATGTTCAAAGTTTATTCGTTCGCTAATTTTTATGCGAAAACTTAATGGACCATTTAGAAATAAAAAAAACCAATCTCTAATATTTTAACTGTAGAGATTTGTGTTTTTGAGCGCAATATCCTTTTCTGACATTTGGTTGATATGTTTCCCGTTGTATATATCTGGATCCGGATCCTGAGCCCCGCGCGGGTTGGTTGGCTATAAATATTCTAATTATTATTTGATAATCGCAAGTATTTTCTTGTGCAAAAGAAATTGATTATTTAAAACTGATACATGATAAATCTTCAGGTTGATCTGACTTGGCAGGATCCAGAGGAAATAATCTACCAGGACTTTTTTGCTCTCAAGGTTGGAGATTTAAAGGGACTGTGCGCGTAATTTTAAGTGACTCTCCATGCAAAGATGGTAATGTTGGATTCACAACGGTACCCTTGAAACCTTTGACTGATCCAGGTTGTCAGATTTATTCTCATAACTCTACGAACATCAAGAGATTTTAACACAGATCTCTTTACTCGATGGAAACTTGAAAGTTTAAAGGGTACCGTTGTAAATCAGCCATTACCCTCGTTACCCGGAGGGTAACTTGAAATTAAGTCTATTTGATCATCTCCAGGTTTTATCTTAATTAAAGAGACTGCTGGTCTGTCCCCTCAATTAAAGAGACTGCTGGTCTGTTCCTTTTATTAAAGAGACTGCCGGTCTGTCCCTCTAATAAAAGAGACTGTCGGTCTGTCCCTTTAATTATAGAGACTGCTGGTCTGTCCCTTTAATTAAAGAGACTGCTGGTCTATCCCTTTAATTAAAGAGACTACCGGTCTGTCCCTTTAATTAGACTGCCGGTCTGTCCCTTTAAATAAAGAGACTGCCGGTCTGTCCCTTTAATTAATGAGACTGCCGGTCTGTCCCTTTAATTAAAGAGACTGTCGGTCTGTCCCTTTAATTAAAGAGACTGTCGGTCTGTCTCTTTAATTAAAGAGACTGTCGGTCTGTCCCTGTAATTAAAGAGACTACCGGTCTGTCTCTTTAATTAAAAAGACTGCCGGTCTGCCCCTTTAATTGAAGAGAAGCTATATTAATGCGAAAGGGTTTTGACTGCCATCAAACCGCCACTTGTTGCATATAATACCCATTCAAGGGTTAAGTTTTACAATTTTTAAAGAAATATTCTTTTAACATAAAACATAAATTCATGAATTTTGTCTTTTTTTTGTAGGTTTTGTTTTTCGTATTTAAAGGATTCGGAATATAGGCGCCTGCTTATTGGTCGTGTATACTCCAGTTGTTCACAAAATATCGCAAATTATAGCCTTAAATAGATTTCTATGTCTCTTAGGTCGGGTTGGACACATTATTATTATTATTGTTGTTAACTTAGTTGCTTATTAGCTCAGTAGCTCAGTTTTTTCAATGTCATGATCTTTCTTACAAATTGTCTAGCTTATTAGCTAGGTAGCTCAAAAACTTGCACAGTAACTCAGTGTCTAACTCAGTATTTAACACAATAAATAGTTTCTGAAATAATTTATTTAGGTTAAATCAAACCTTCTCTGTATCCCTACCTCTGCCCGACCTTGAGTTGACCCATCTCCCCATCCTGCTCTCCGGGTTTCTAACATTACTGGAGGAGAAGGTTGGATCCCTGGGACAACATTTTCTATTCTCTAAATCTATTTTTCAACAAGAGATTTCTCCGTTCTCCTTCATTTCTCTTCGTCTTTCTCCTGTCTCCACTTCATGCAGTATTGCAGGTGAGCCTCAACCCACTGTGCTTAGAGATGGGTGCGTTCGTTTTTTGTCATTTCGTTCGTTCACCGTTGGTTGTTCTCAAAATTATCAATCATTTTCATCGTAGTTTTTTTTTTCTAAACGACACCATCGTTAACGAAGTATTATGTTCGTTCACAAAACCTATGCCCATCCCTAACTGTGCTACATCAAAACCGAGAACTTTTGAATCAAGGAAATGAGTTTAACTACTTCTCTTCTCGCGGGTAGATCAATCGATTTATTTTAAATTACAATGGAAGGGATAAGATCCGCGAGAGATCAGAGCTAGGAACTTTTGTAGGATACCTATTCTCCCGATCACTTGATCTCGATGTCTAACTACATTGTGTACTTTTGAATTTTTCGCAGAATCTGCTTGATAACTTGGTATTGGACATTCGAAATTTTTCTGTTCTCTCATTTGTTGATTGCAACATTCCCCGACTTTGATTTGCAGTTCGTTTTCCACTGACGACACTCCCATGGGATATCGAATAAAGATGAAATTAATCTGTAGATTAAGCAATGATCTCAATATCCACAATACAAAAGTTCCCAGCTCAGTTAAATAGATGATAGTTAAAGACAAATAATGAGTTAAACTCATTTATCCTAATAAAAAATTTCCACATTTAGCCAAGTTATATTAATAAATTTGAATTTTACACCAAAAGGCAAGTTTTTCATTCTTTTTTATCTTTTTATCCAAAATTTTATTCATTATCCGCTAAAACTCACTTAATTTCCCCAAATCAGCGAAAACCCCCTAAAATAAAATTTTTATAAATTATTTTCAGAATGAATGGGGTAATGATTTTTATGAAAATATACATTTAACTCCCCTGTCAAGATCTTTTTGAAGAAGTGGGATATGCCATTCGGTTTGACAGTAAAAATTCACAATTTTTTTGACGAGTTTTGAGACCCAAAGGGGTTTGGGCATCTTTTAAAAAAATGTCAGATTATGATGATATTCTTGTTTCAAGGTAGTGGGTCGGAACAAACCAGTTTCCTATCACTACTAGATCCTGATCAACCGGAACTCAAACGGAAACTCCGGAAGAAAATAAAACTTGACACTCAAAAAATAGGAAACTAGATATTATTAGTCAGTCACTTAATAGGAAAGATACCTAGAGTCTATTATTTTACAGAAACATCGAATAGAGATAAATACTGCCAATTAATTTACAATCTGGGTTGCATTGTTTGCATGCATAATGAACTGTTATGATAACACTCAAATTAACTTAATGCCGGATTATTAAAAGGAAAAAAGGAAATAACTATTTAACACGTCTGCCATTTTAGTCTTTTTTGTCGATGTTCGGTACTTTCCCAAAGTCATTTTCCCAAGCGGCAACTTCCCAAGGGTATTTTCCCAAATGGCAACTTCCCAAATGTAAAATTTCCCAAGTCTGTCCTAGCTGCGGCGCTCAGTCCCAAGCCTGTTCTAGCCGTGGCGCACGGTACTCTAGCCCATCCTAGCGCTCTGCCCCCCATTGCAGCTTGCGGCGCCTCAGAGGGTCTAACCTAACCTTTGGGAAATTGCACATTTGGGAAGTTGCCACTTAGGAAATTGATACTTGTAACCAGTGTTTCGGATCCGTATCATTTTGATGCGGATCCGGATCCGCGGATCCGCATCCGTGATGATGGATCCGGATCCTGACTCTGATACGGATCCGGATCCGGATCCGAGGTAACTTTTGATTCTGTGAATCGGATTTTCCCTATTAAATGTTATGCAAGGTTATAATTTGCGCCATGTGAGCATTTGCCGCTGAGTAATCCTAAAGTTAAAAATATCGTCATTACTATTATATAAATGTAAACATTAAATTATTAAAGATAATTTTGAAAAATTTTCGTCATGTAAATAATACATTTACGAACCATTTTGATTTATTTATTCCATGGTTTTGGTTAATTTTTGGCGCTACCCGGATCCATATCAACGTTTCCTGATACGGATCCGGATCCGACCAAATGATACGGATCCGACCGGATCCGGATCCGAAACGCTGCTTGTAACTTGATAAGTCGCCCTTAGGAAAATGCCTTTGGGAAAGTATATATATATTTTTTAATGAATTCGGGTCTTAACTCCTATTAAATAATATATATTTAACTGAATTCGGATCTTTATTCCTATTAATGACATGTCTTTAACTGAATTCGGGTCTTTACTCCTTTTAATTGTCATAATAAATTCTGATTTCTAAAGGGAATTTAATCTATACTATTTTGCTGACTAATGATATTGGTTCTTAAGAAAATAATTTTGAGAGTATTTTGGTCGGTTTGATTAAGGAACCAAATCAAGGGAAGCTCTTTACATTTTTCAATCAGGTCAGTTGATTATCAGATTAATTCATTAATAAATCAGAATTGTTTAATTATGTATTAATATTATTTACTGCCCTTTGACCAACATTACCGCACCACGATTCGCCCAAGAGCGGGATGTTTAGTTATTTAACGTCCCTTGGGACAAAAATAACCTCCCGCTTTGCGAGATTTTAGTAAAAACAACACGCGTATTTTCATTTTAAAAGACCATAAAATTGTGTATAAAAATGTTATTAACCACGGGTTCTCTCGACCATTAATGACAACAAAACATCCAGAGCCTATCAAGTTGGAAACCATTGGAATAGAAAAATTCCCCTAACTTCTCTGTAAATTATAAGATGAAAGGACAACCCTGCATGTAGTGACTAATGGAAGGGATAACATGGCTCGTTTTTGCAAAACTTTAAAGGTTTTTGGACTTTTACACAGCACCACACTGTCAATTATGAAGGTTCAATCCAACATATCAAAAATCTAAATTGTATTCTGTAAAATTTTGCGTTTATTAAACTTCGCTAAAAAAAATTGTCTTCCAGAGAAAAAATAAGGTAAACGCGAACCAAAAAACGAACGTTTAATAAATTACGGTCCGTTTTTCCTCTCTCAGGGTCAAGTTTGGCATTGTGTAGGAAAAGAAAATGAGTGGAATAAACAGTTCTGTAATTTTTAAAATTCAATTTTTTTGTGGAACTTTTGAAAATTCCAAAAACCTCTTATCCGCCGAAGCGTATGGGATACTGCTACTATAGTGTGGCCAATTTTACATTTTCAATTGATATAAGTTTATATATAAATATATCTTTAATTCAGAATCAATAAAATACTAAACCAAAAATTGAAGAATAAAAATCAGTTTAGGGTCTGTTTACCCTCTACTTACAATGAGAACATTGTTTTGTATTATGTAAATGCTAAAAATTTACTGTTTTACTGCCACAGTTGAAGACTGTCTTTGAAAGGGGTAATGTTTTGGGAGACAAAGATATTTAGCAGCCATAAAATGATTCTTTTATTTAGGAGATATCCATGGAGTGGAGGACCTGTGAAGAAAGGGGGGAGGAGGGATCCATGTATCTTGTCTCCAATTGTCCTACTTCACTCAATATATTCATCAACTATCTTACTAAGTTTTCTCCTGGTTCCTCCGGTATATGAGGACGGGAGGGAGGATGGAGGAGTATGTACATTTTGTATTCCACTTCATTGTCGGAATTTATTGTGGTTTTATGCCAATGTAATGTCTTTTAGAATAACTTTTGGATTGTTTTGTTTAATTAGCTAAATAACCAATCCTGAAACTTTACTCGATCTTTAGCATTTAAGAAAATTGAACCTGCTGTGAGTTAAACCCATAGAGAATAGAATATATATTAGAGGGGAGTTTAGAGAATCTCTCGGTATGAATTTTTTCAGTCCCTTTCACCCTGAAAGGGAGTTCAAAGTGTACAAATCATGTAAATGTTCACAAATTATATGCAGTAGAGTACATTAATACAGTATGTTCCCTAGACTATCCATTTCAATTTCGAANCACAAAAAATTTCGTGGAATTTAAAAATTTTCAAAAATTTAATGAAGATCGAATTTTGATGGAGACAAATATTTGAAATTTTGATCATTCATAAACCTTCCCTGTTGTCACGTGAGGTCCCACAAAAAAATTGGGCCCGATCGGTTCAGCCGTTTGGACTTTTATTGGATACAAACAAACAAACAAACAGACAAACAGACAGACAAGCCAAATTTATATATAGATGTATCCATAGACACAGTGTTTCGTCCTATTAGGACTCATCAGTATGACTCTATTCATCAGATTTGATTTTGCAATTGACGGGGCTTGAACCATGAATCCTTAGATTATGAATCAAACACGCTAATCACTGCTCCATCAAATCCTGATGATTTGGTAATGAAATAGGGACCAATATATATATATATATATATAAATCTCTGTTTATCTGTTTTTTTGTTTGTTTGTGTGTCCGATCATATGTAACTCAACCTTTTGACGGATTTGCTTAATTTGAATTGTGGAAATCGCTGGAACCACCAGAATGTTTTTTGAGCTTGGTTTAAATTCTAAGTTAAGTGATTGACTTCTATAAAGAAAGTTTAATTTCCAAGCTAATCATTACCGAAATCATAATTAAGTTATCACTTTCGAAAAACATGAATTTCAATTAAAAAAATCAAAATGAAGTAAAAAATTTATTTTAGATATGAATATTTTCTGAAAACCCGTTCGGCGCACAGTTTTAAAACCCAAATTCCAAATTCATATAATTCATAATTTTCCCAAAATAAGTTTAAAATATAAAAAAAATTTTACTTGAAATAAGCTTTCTATTCCAACTTTTTCAAATATATATATACTTTAGGAAAACAATAAAAAATTATTATTGAGGATATTTTGCTTACTGTGAATGTTTTTCCAGTTGAAGAGGTTGTTGATAATGTGTCTGAAGAGATCAATGTGGAAGAACAAGTTGTTCAAGATGAAGTTGTGATTGATCAAGAAGAGGAGAGAAATCAGATACCAATCCCAAGCCCGATTCCAGGGGGGTTAATTTCAATATTGATTTCTGGAAAGTAGAAATTTTATTTTTTAACAATTATAATACACTAGAAATTCAAAAGAAAAAAATGTTGCGGATTTTTGAAAAAAAAATTCGCGGATTTTCAAGAATTTAATTTTTTTTACAAAATTAAAAACCTTTAAAACACATTTTTTTAAAATTTTTATCATTCATAAACCTTTCCTGNGGCTAAAACTCAGTTTCTTTTTGACCTCTCTGAGAGTAAATATCATTAACATAAACTTATTTTTTTAAAGATCGCGTTTTTTTATAATGATTTAATTCTAGGGTATGAAGAATTGTCCTGTTTGCAACAGATGGATCAGTTTATCAAGATTACAAATGCATATCCATCATCAGCATAATCAGGTCATCCTTCACCAGTCACCTTTCTTGAGTTAAAGGGACTCTCAATGTAATTTCCTGTGAACCCCCCAATTATCCTGATCAGCATATTCAGTTTTTTTTAAACTAGTGTTGGGCATGGGCTACGACATTTTATCAGCTCCAAGTTAAGCACACTTGGCCACAGCCTAAGAAGAATCTTAGGCAGCTGGAATCTTGTCAGGCCTCTTCTCAGTATGAATGAAGCGTTGATGGATGAATGTGCTGTCAGATTACAACCCCTGGTAGATCAATATAAAAACCCAGACAACACCAAACTTTCGAAATAGAAAAATTCCAAGATTTGATCGTAACAACCCGATCATGTCCTGGTGACAAAAAAATCCCTTTTAAAAAAGTATTTTTAATTTTATTTTTAATGTCCGTTGGTTGTAATTTCATTTTTATCACACAAAACAAAAATCTTTAAATATTTTCAATATTTTTAAGGGCAAGGTTTTTGAATGTCAGTACTGTGGAAACAAGTCTATTCGTCATCATGTTATAGAAGAACATATAAGGTGAAATAATGTCCTAGATTTTTTCTTTTGTGCTAAACATACTCTTATATTGATATTAAATATGCATGTCGCTATTTTAGTTATGTGCACACATTTTTATTTAAATTGGCGCATTTTCAAGAATAATGACTGTCGACATTTTTCCCGGGCAAAATTGGTTAACCTTGACCTTTCATAAACCTTTCCTGGGGTCATGAGAGTTATTATTTAAAATTTGGACCTAATCGGGTTAACGTTTATTTGAAACAAACAAACAGACAAACATGCAAAGTATATATTTGGAGTTTTTGGGTCAACATTTTAATAGATAATGCACATTTCTTTACAAAATATCTTTTATTTTTAAATAATTTCCAATTTCATAGTGTTTACTGATTTTGCATTCCAGATTTTAACTAAAAGTGAAACACCGTAGAGTCCGTTTTTTATCATTATAGTTGTTTATTTTTACAATTTATGAGACTTAGATTTGTACAAAACCTATTCAAAATTGTCAAGACGACATTTCATCAATTCTTTCGATGTATCTGAAGTTCTTGGTTAACATATTGTTTTGTATTATATTTTAGAATTTATCATCCTGGTGAGAAGATTCTTATAAATTTTAATCCAATAGAACAATCTGAATCTGCTGTTAGTCAGGTAAATTTAAACAGGCAGTGAGTACCAGAAAACTGGAATGGGAAGACGACGTTTAGACTCACTTTATGACATCAAATACACCTCAGTATTGAATATCGTCTTCCTCTGTCACAGTTATCTGTTTTCTCTATATTAAAATTGTATATGCCCTAATATTGATAACAGCGATATATGTAATATCTATGTATGTATTTTTGTGCATCAAAATTAGCCGTTGGATAAATCTTTAAGCGTAGACTTCTAAAACCCCCACAACCATGTGGCTTTGACTTTGTAGGGTGGAGGGGAAGTCATCCGAAAGCAAGGGCTTCTACTATGTAGATTTTAGCAATTGTAGAATTTCTTCTAGTTTAATTTTAATTACCTAAACTGGGAATGCTTGATCTTGATCTTTTGTTAATCTGCAGATTAATTTTATCTTTTCTCGAAATCCTGTAGGGAAAACTGAAAAGATGATCGATTAAGCACTGATTCTCGAATTTAAAGTGCTCTCTTTGGATATCGGGATCAAGCGATTGGGATTTTCCAACACAAAGGTTCCCGACTTTGGCTTCTGAGATTTTGGTTTCAAAGTCATTTCAGATTTAAATTTGAATGCGTTTAAACCTAAAAGGTTTTTTTCTCGTCGCAAATAAGTATCCGTTAATTTGTTAAATTTGTTTCTTGTTTGTTTTTATTTTTATTTTTTTCAAGACTGATAGAACAGTCGTGGAAACTACGCAAGATGGTGAGCCACCGCCTTCTAGTCCTGCTGTGCCGGTCAAGCCGGTTTCAAAACCAGTTTTGCCGCGTAGAACTATGTTACAGAATTTAAAAGTGCAGAAAAACACAAACTTTTGGTAATTTATAATCATACAGGGTTACACATAAAGGATGATATTGTAAAGACGACCCAAAAACTTTAAAATATGACGTTTTATAGCTTGATTTTTTGTTCCTGCATTCAATTGAGTATACTGATGGTTAACTAGATAAGGAAGCAAAAAAATAAGCCAGTTTTAGCTTACAAGGAACCCTAAATGCAAGAAAACGGACTGACAAATTTTAGGATTTCGTCTCTGAAGTCTCATCTTTTTCAATAATATATTTCTACATTATGCATATTTATTAATTCTTCTTTTTTTAGCATTCTACTAAAAAGAATACCTGAATTATAATTAAACAAAAATACAATTTTAAAGATCTTTAAATCGATTTACATGTTTTTACAGGATTTTATTAAGAATTTTATTAGTTACTAGCTGAAGTGTGCGGCGTTGTCCGTGGAATTTAAAAAATATTCTCGAGTTCATGATAAAAATAATTTCTAATTCTTAAAAAGCTGGCCAAACGGCTGGACGGAATTGGCTCAACTTTTTTGAGGAAACCTATGGGTACCCTGAGAGAAACATAAAGGCTTAAATATTCAAAATAAATTTTTTTAAATTCGAAACATGTATGTTGTATGTTGTATGTAATGTGCGAAGAGCTTTATTATATAGTTTTTCTCGCATTATGAATCAAACTCATTTCTAGCAGATTTAAAGTATGTTCAGCCAAAGTCTGAATTTAACAAATTTGAGCCGCGTCAATATTCAAAATAATTTTTTTTTAATTCGAAACATGTCTGTTGTATGTTGTATGTAATGTGTAAAGAGCTTTATTATATAGTTTTTCCCGCATTTATGAATTAAACTCATTTCTAGCAGATTTAAAGTTTGTTCAGCCAAAGTCTGAATTTAAAAAATTTGAGCCGCGTCTCAAATCTGCCAAAAAGCGGTTTCAATTGAGCGCCGGTTTAAATCTTGAAACATTGAATTCAATTTTAATTGGAACCAACCATATTTAAGCCGCGTCTTAAATTTAAGCCGCTGCTCAAATTCTTTAAATTTGGCCTCAAGTTCAAATGAGCCAAAAATAGTTTTATTGAGAAAAACAAATAGTTCAAATGAGCCCAAAAAAATAGTTGAAATGAACTTTTTTTGATCATCTGAACTATTTTTTTGCTCATTTGAACTAAACTCAACTTAAAATTGACTTTATTTCAGTTTAAGTTCCCTTGAAGGATTAACTAAAAACCTGTCAAGATGTGATATTTGTAACCAAATTTTCAGGAACAACGCCAAACCAAATAAATCATTTCTTGATAAAAAAGTTGAGAAAAAAATTTACATTAAAAGAAAAATATTTTAAACAAATAAATTAGCAAGATATTTCAAGGCCCTCGGAGTAAGGTTCTTTGACAAATTTAATGCCTACTGCCTGTTTGAATCACTAATTCAAAGTTAAAGATTGAGGAAGGATTTGAGTTGGTGATTCCAAGTTCAGCGACCCCTTAAATTTATTTAATTTGTTAATAAAATGAAATGATGGATCTTAAACATTGGATTTGATTGGTGTAAATACTGTACAGTACTGCTATGCTGAATAAGCACCTGAAGTCGAAGCATAATGAAATCAGAATATCCAGTGCAAGGTAGATATGTACATCGTTTTGAAATCCGTTTTTTAAAGGGAGTGACCCACTATGTAAGGTAGTTGAACTGAGTACGCAGTGTTGTCGAAAACTTCTTTCGGATTCATTTGAGACATATTACACTTTTTAAAGATCGGTAAATCCTGAGTTTGAGCGCAAAGCCGACGTTCAATACTCCTACTTCGGGGGTGGATACGCTTTCAGAATTAGTTTTTTTTTTAATTATTAATTAACGACGACATAAAATGTAAAAATATTCTACAATAAACTACAGACGTCATGCATAGGAACATTTTGAGAAAATAAAAGATTAATCTTATCATCGAAAATAAGTAATCTTGCTCAATTATTAGTTTATATTATCTCATTATTCTGGTTTCTCATTATTCACAAAGATGTTCGCAGATTTTCTAGAATTATTATTGAAAAGACGACATTTGAAGAATTTGAAGAAATCTGCGAATAAATTCAAAGAAAATTAGAAATTTAATATAATAATGAAAACGAAATAATCGATTCCAGCATTGATTTATTGCCAAATTTCTTTTATGAAATATGTTCCTAGCCATCTAATTAGATTACTGTATAACTTTTACTTTATTTTTCGTCGTCGTTATTTAATAACTAAAAAGAAACTAATTCTGAAAACGTATCCACCCCCCAACGTAGACATTTTGAACGTCGAATTTGCGCTCAAACTCGGGATTTACAGATCTTTAAAAAATTTAATAAGTCTCAAATGAATCCGAAAGAAGTTTTCCACAACACTGTATACTCAGTTCAACTACCTTACATAGCCGGTCACTTCCTTTAACATTCCAGTAATTTAGCTTTGAAAGTGTTTCACAAGAATGGGAGATATTCCAGCGAACGAAAACTTTCGCGAAAAATGCGAAGGTTTTCTTTTGTATTTTGCAAACTTTTTTGGGAAGGGAAGCGAAAACGATGCGGAAATTCGTAATATGAAATATGTATCACTTTCGCCAATTCATTTTTTCCCACGGGCAACGCCGGGCCCTCCTGCTAGCAGTTAATAAAGCTTGGACTGAAATGAATGTGTGAGCATGGTCGCTGAACTACCTACGGCCGGTTCAAATATTGAATTACCAATTCAAAGATAATGATTTAAGAGGATTTGAACTGGTAGTATGTAGTTCAGCAACCTAGCTCAAACTCATTGAATTCAGTCCCCGATGTATCGTAAAAGTCACCCCCATTTATAACAGAATGGAATGTACGATTCCCAACAGTACGCTTCAAACCTCTTTCCGAGAAACAGTGCAGAAGATATTTAGTGAAGTAAAAGTTAAAATTATTCATTTTTTAGCTAGAAATAGAAGGAAATCACAGCCATTGACAAATGTTTAAAGGGTACTGTTGTGAATCGAAAATAGTTGAAATGTTACTCCGAATTAGGTGTACACTGTACAGTTCCTTAAATCAATGTTCCAGCGTTATGTTATTTCATTGTGGTTTGAACTCCTCATAATTGACATTTAAATACAAGATCTAAAAGGGGAAATTTTAAGTAAATTCTAAGAAACTCGACACTTGATTTTGGAATGGTTCTTTCTTATCTGAGGATCAGGGGCGGCTTGGAAAAAATAACTAATAAATTCTGGCATTTCATATTTTTTAAGTTGAATTAAACACTAAAATTACACTTCTTCTACTGTTATTTTTTGTTGCTAGAATATGGACGAACTATGCACAGTGTTTATATACAAGTATGCAAGGCACAAACTTGATTTTTTTTTCTTTAAAAGTACATGATACCAGGCTTTTATGGCGCTTCGCGCCCTCTTCCCTGAAAATAATTTTGGCTTTTAACTGTCCCTTGGAAAGTCGACCATTTTTAATCATTCTCAGATTTGAACGGATTTTACTATTCGGATGGCGCATTTAAAAACTAAAATTTGATTTTTTCCAGGAATATTTTTTTGGTGGTCTTACACTTAACCTATGGTCATGTGAGGTTCCATACAAAATTTGGGCCCGATCGGTTTAGCCGTTACGACGTATTTTGGACACGAACAGAAAATTAAACACCAGAACACTCAGACAGACAAGCAAAGCATATAATTATAATATATATATATATATTTTTCTTAAAGGGTTGATGATGCAGAAGGAAGACAGAAAACAAAAGAAGAAATTAACGAACAAATTTGCAGAAATAAAATTAGGAAAATCTTGCAAAATATTTGATACCTCACCTCTTACAATCTGCAGAAATTACAATTTCCTTAAACCCATTTTTCCCGGATTTTTCGTATTTTTGTGAAGTGGAAAATGCAGAGGTGTGTTTGAATAAGAATCTAACTGGTCTCTCAAAAATCATCAATTCTATTTTCTCAAATTCATAATTATCTAAATGATATTTTTTCTCCTAACATTTGCTGGATTTTTTAGTGGCGGATTTAAGCTTTGTGGAAAATGCGGCTCAATGTATATAAAATTAAGTAAACATAAACTTTATTGCAAAATTTCAAAATCAAAAAATAAATAAAATTTGTAATGATATGATAATTGGCAGATGTAATATAAAGAAGAGAAAGGGCACGTAATGGTTGCAATTTAAAATTGATAAATTTCATAAGTCAGATTCACGACAGTTTCCATCAAATCTTTTTTTCTGAACAATGAGGAAGATATACGTGGGTTTTCTGTCCAGGAAAGTTGAATTCTCACAAAGTATTCTTTTACTCTTGATACATTTTGCAAGTCAGTTAAAGAAAACCGCGATTGAAAATGATTAGTTTTTAAATAGTAGAAGAGAGGAACTGATGTTGTTAAGTGGATATGCCATTTTATAAATCAATTTCGTTTCAGTCCCTTCGGGAGATTCAATTTGTTATTGTTAAGGAAAAAAGAGAACAGTTATGAATAATAATATTAACATTTTATTTATTAATAGGTTACACATGTAATAATAAAAAATCATTACAATTTAATTATTCCTTTATATAGCATGTAATATCATGTACATTGATTGATAATGATTAAAACAACTATAATGATATTGATTTAGCGGGTCTGTCCTAGATAACAATTTTTGGTCCCCTTCCCCCCCCCCCCCCCCACCTATCAATTTTGTACTTGACTTAAAATTTTAATTATTATTATTATTAAATTATTATTGGACAAAAAAATATTTATTTTGTTTTATTTCAGGGTTAGGTTAGGTTAGGAAAATTTCAGGGCCGACTAGGACAGGCTAGGGGGTCAAGCGCTGTGGACAGACCTTCAATTTCAACTATTTTCAACAAAATGTGTGTATATTTAGGGTCAGGTTAGATTAAGACACTTTCAGGACCAAGCGCTGCGGCTAGGACCGGGTGCTGCGCCAACTTGGCCAACTTTATCCACGTGTTAAATGTTATGTGCATGTACAAAATTGAACGGAGGGGGGGAGTAGAGCGGTCCGAAATTACCTTTAGCATATCTTTCGTATTTCAAAGCATTATTAATGTAGTTCTTTGATAATGTGGATAGACTTCATTTTGGTTAAAAACAAAATATTTTTATAATAATGAACATAATGATTTGCATGTAAGTTTATTGATAATGATTATTTATTTTTACTATTTCAAAGTATAGTTATCGAATATTATTAAGTAACAAATTTCATGTGTTTTCCTTTTTTAGCAAAGATATTATTTATTGCATAAGGATTATTGAAACAATAATTAAAAACGATAGTTTTTTGCGATTTTAAGTTAGTTGACGTAAAGCAAATTATTAGTGAAGTTGGCGACAGGGGCGTTTCCAGGAATTTATCAAGAAGGGGTGGGCCGGGCTTAAATTTTTTCTTTCTCTCCAGGGCCGGCATGGGCTCAGCACCCGTTGAACCTGAAAACCAGAGACCAATCGTCCAAGGGGGGACTAAGCCCCAATAGCCCACCCCAATGAAAACGCTCTGGTATATATTTTAATTAAGTTTCAAGTTTTCAACGTTTGTTTCCTTGTGAAGTTTCTCTTCAACGAATAATACCAAATCTGGATTCTAAAAACAAAATGTGTAATATTTTTTATCTAATACTTACAGTGAGTACCAGAAAATTGGAATAGGAAGACGACATTTTAGCACTAATAGTGTAATGAATGTTGTTACAAAGAAAATAGTTTTCCTTATGACTACTTAAATCACCCATTTAGTCAAATGGGTCTGTTAACACTACACAATTGCTACGTTTTATTTGCATGGGACCATTAAGTCTCTAACTTAAGTTTAAAATTCGTTTTCACATTCGGGAGATTCCTGGTTCTCACTGTAATTCATTATGTAATTGTAATTCATAATCAATAATTTTTCATAAAAAATTAAATTTTTTAATTAACAAATAACTAATTAACCTAGGCTTTGGAAAGTTTGTAATTCCAAATCATGTTCATGCCTGAAACAGAAATAGATATAGTGTATCTTTCAACCTACGCATATCCGCTATACTCCATTTCAGACCTACGCAAGATCCGCTGTATTACACTTACGACATACTAGCACGTGGTTTTATTATAACTTCAAGTTGGAAATGTGACCAGAGCGCCCGGTTCCTAACTTGTCTTAGCCGCGGCGCTGGGCCCCCTATCCACTGAGCCCGGCCCAGAAATTGTCTTAACCCGACCTAACCCTAAATATTATAAAAATAAAACAGTTTAGTAGGTCCGTTATTGCAGTAGGTCAGAGTTTCAGTAGAGGGGATATTGCGTATAGACGATGAAACTTTACCTTAAAGAATTATTTCTTCGAGACAGATAATTTTAATGCTTGATCAAAATACATTTAAGAATAATGATAAGTGTTGAAATAGTGCTTTTGATTTATAAAATTGTGTTGAAATGANCTCTCCAGACATAAAGAGATTTTTCACTCTTTCTAAGAATGAATTGTCTACTTCATCTTGGGTTAGATTCAACCCTTTTGTTATTGATATGTTTCATTCACTGTTCCCAGAAATTTTATTAAATCAAAATAATTCATACTTACTCGAGCAGTGCAGCATTATCGCTGGCCCTAAAAATTTACAATATTAAATTGAAAACTTTCTCTACAAAATTTTTCTTTTCTATATAAAAATTAAACGTGAAATACCCCCCTCCCCCTCCATCACAAAACATTTTAGGACAGTAAGGTTTTTTTAGAGGGGGGGTGTTAATTTTGAATATTTAGAAAAATAGGATCGGGAAAAAGAAATCTTCAATCACCTTCGTTCGTTCTTTTTTCTCTTCTTCCTCTTCTTCCTTTTCTTTTCTTCTCCATTTCCTTCTTCAGATCTTCTCTCTGTATGTCGTCTTTCGTCCCCTCCATAGGAATAAACAGATCGGCGACGCGGTTTCTCATCTAATCGTCGTCGTATATATCATTACAATGAAGACGACTTTCGATTTCAATTTTTAATTTCTACCAAGCTTGGATGAGCGGAGGAAGGCAGGCGGCCATGAGCCACCACTATTTCCTCTTCCGTGCCACATATTAGCTTTTTTCTCTTCCGGCAGCCATGAGCCACCACTCCTTCCGTACCACCACATTTGACTCTTCTGGGCAAAACTACTTCTTTAAATGGTATAATTAGGGCCTTTAAAGTGTGATTTTAAAAAATCCAGCCGCGTCTCTCAAAAAAGCACAACTCAAACCATTTTTTCAACTCTACTTAAGATTAATATTTTGTGTGTTGAATTCTTAAACTGTTTTACAATGAAATTTTTGACAAATTTGACTGAGTATTGCATCTTGAAATATCACAAAGTTGGTTAATGAGTGATTTTAAGATGGATTTATAGTATAATGAGCCAGTAATTGAATAATCATTAAAACAGTTTAAGAATTTAACACACAAAATATTAATCTTAAGTAGAATTGAAAAAAATAATTTGAGTTGTGCGTTTTTGAGTGACGCGGCTGGATTTTTTAAAATCAGACTTTAAAGGCCCTAAATATACCATTTAAAAAAGTAGTTTTGCCCGGAAGAGTCAAATGTGGTGGTACGGAAGGGGAAATAGTGGTGGCTCATGGCCGCCTGCCTTCCCCTGCTTCTTGGATATGGAGTATGGATATGCATAAACATGGAAAGAAAGATGAGCTGCCATTTCTTTTTGTTTACTTTAGTAATTTTTTAAAAACGTTAAAAATAAAAACTTGAATAAAAAAGTCATCTTTATTATATTGATATACACGCCGAACACTATATGCAACAGATTACGACCAGCTTTTTTAATATAAAAATATTCTAATTTTGTACTTTTCTCACGTTTGTGTTCCCTTTTATTTGAAACGGATAATTTAGGAATTATAAACACGTAGCAAAACATGGCAGGAGCAAGACGGTTTGAAAGTCGTCTTTTATCTTTGAATTTATTTGAAACATCAACCTCCTTTCACGTGTATAATTCTTTAAACAATAACCACAAAATTCTCTTAGTCTTGGGATTTCTAAAATGTGGTCTGCCTTCTTTATGTTGTCATATATTAACGGAGATATTGAGAATTTAGTTTAGATTTAAAGTTTTATAAAATGAAACCAAAATTGTCGAAATTTTAACAAAATTAATCATATTAACGGTAAATATTGAAATCACAAAGAAGGCAGACCACATTTTGGAAATGCCAAGACTAGGAGTGTTTTGCGTCAATAAACTCTAGAATCTTACTTCTACAAATTGGTTTTCAAATAAATCCCGTAAAGACGACCTTCAAGCCGTCATGCTACTATCATGTTTTGTGGAGCAACCTGCAGGTTTTTTGAAAAATTAATCTATAGTGATACTGACCCTGTTACTTTGATATATTTAAAAACTCTAAGTTTTGCATTTTTTGTATTGTCACCTGGAGTTGGCTTTAATTGGGATAAATTCTTTTCTGGCGGTACATCTATTCGACGGTGTGGTTGAGGACTTGGTTGTGGTTGTGGTATTTCCTTTAAAGGTCTAATATGTGGTAGAATCTCTGCTACTGTGGTTTTGAATTGAACGTGACGAGTATTTTTCCGCTCCGAGAAAGGCTGAAATATTTTAAAAATTTAACTTTCTGCTATTCATGCGGAAATAGCCACGATCACAATTTTTTCTGATTCGTTCAATTATATTTTAATATTAAATGATGTTAAACAAAGTGTTGTTATTGTCATACTTGTAACGTCCTTGCTTCAAAATGTAACAAATCGGCATCGAACACCAATTTTTGTATATTTTTTAAACACAATTTTAACTAATCAGAGATGGAATTTAAAGAATTTGAGCCGCGGTTTAAATCTGCCAAAACCCGGTTTAAATTAAGCGCCAGCTTAAATCTTGAAACATTTGATACAATTTTAAGTGGAACCAACCATATTTAAGCCGCGACTTAAATTTAAACCGCCGCTCAAATTCTTTAAATTCGGCCACAGTATGATTATATGTATAATTTTTATAATATAGATGTAATGAAATTGTAAATTTTTTTGTCATACAGGCCTACCCTAGTTCAAATAAAGTAGTTCAAGTGCACAAAAAATAGTTCAAATGAACCAGAATATAGTTCAAACGTGTGTATAAATATGGGTTAGGTTAGGTAAGACAATTTCTGGGCCGAGCGTTCCGGATAGTAGTTCAAATGAACACAAAAATTAGTTCAAATGAACCAAATAATTGTTTTGAATTTTTTTTTGTTCATGTAAAATTTATTTCATTTATGTATTTTTTTATTTCAAAATGCCGTGTGAAGAAACTGTAAATGTAATTTTAAATAACCCTCCATGAAATGATTGCAATGCTCGATTTACAACGGTACCCTTCAAACCTTAATCTGATCAAAATTTTGGAATATCGTTGTTTTCCTGACTTGAGAAGTTTCTTATGTGATCCGTCTTATAATAAAAAATGCGCAAATCACTTTCGCAGAGAAATCGCAAATGTAAATAAACAGTTTAAAGAAATTAAAACATGGATATCTAATTCATACTTTAACTAAATAAACAGAGCAGAAAACTTTAGAATGGGATATCCTTAATCCCGATCGGTTAATCAATCTGGAGGTTAATAACAAGAGGAGAACAAGCATTATTTAACCTGGAGATTAAGAAAAAGAGTGGATCAAGCCTTAATCCCGATATCCACCATTCAAAAGTTCCCAGCTCGGATCAAAGAAATTAAAGCATGGATATCTAATTCAGACAAATCTTTTAAGTCTACCGTTGTATAAATCGGACATTGTCATCTGTGAATGAAAGGTAGCTTAACATTACGCTTACATAGTCTCTTTTACCTTCTCATTGCTGTTTGGCCTACTAGAGTCATGAAACCCTTCATCTTCACTCTCATTAGTCCTAGAACTCAGGGGCGTAGGCCGGGTAGTGTTGCTCCCAGGAGGGGGTCCAGGTAGTCTAGAGTATAGTATTATTATTCTAGAACTCAGGGGCGGTAGTGTTGCTCCCAGGAGGGGGTCCAGGTAGTCTAGAATATAGTATTATTATTCTAGAACTCAGGGGCGGTAGTGTTGCTCCCAGGAGGGGGTCCAGGTAGTCTAGAATATAGTATTATTATTCTAGAACTCAGGGGCGGTAGTGATGCTCCCAGGAGGGGGTCCAGGTAGTCTAGAATATAGTATTATTATTCTAGAACTCAGGGGCGGTAGTGTTGCTCCCAGGAAGGGGTCCAGGTAGTCTAGAATATAGTATTATTATTCTAGAACTCAGGGGTGTATTTTCAACTTCTAAGTATTTAGGGTCTCTTACTCTATTCTTGAAGGACTTTGAATGAGCGATAGAAATATGATTGAAAATCAAGGATGTTTATGAAGGTTAAATACTCTGGATTAGCTCCAATGTTCGGAATATGTCGTCTTCATTGAAATGGATAACATTGTTGGTGAGAGGATGGAAGGATTTTCTCTGCTTTTCAGCTTTAACATGGAGAAAATCTTTCCCCCTTCCCTCTCACCAACAGCAGTTACGTCATATGAGGATTTTGACTGTCCATTGCTATGAAGACGACATTTTCCGAGGCGCATACTGAGTATCAAACCTTAATAAACAACCTAGCTGAAAATATTTGGTTTAGACTGACCTTAGGTCACACAGCTCAGTAAAGAACTCTGGTTCCATTGTCCACTGATTTCTTGATACATCAGCTGTACTGTTCTGCAGGCTGTCAGTATGTACAGGCACCTAGGTAGTGGTACATGGAAACTGTACAAATATATCTTAATTTAACCGACTCCAAGCTTCGAATTTGATAAACGTATTGTATTTAAAAAAATATTTCTGTTATCTCATCCTTTATAGGTACAGGGTTACCCATAAAGGATGAGATTTAAGAGACGACTGTACGGAATTTATACTGTCTGTTTCCTTATTTATCATGATTCTCAGCAACTGTAAACTAGTTTCTTTCTTTGCCAAATCATTTAGTAATTCACTAAAAGAGTATAACTTAATTTAACCTTAGGATTTTTGGTGGAGCGTGATGTATTTTTTATTAAATCGGTTTTTTTTGAAAATTTATTATTATTAAATTTTTTTTTTTTTTTACCTCCTTATCAAGCAATCTCAAGTACATTCCTTCATTTGTAGAAAATAATACAGGAACCCTGAACAGAAAATAATACAGGAACTCTGAACAGAAAATAATACAGGAACCCTGAACAGAAAATAATACAGGAACTCTGAACAGAAAATAATACAGGAACCCTGAACAGAAAATAATACAGGAACTCTGAACAGAAAATAATACAGGAACTCTGAACAGAAAATAATACAGGAACACTGAACAGAAAATAATACAGGAACTCTGAACACAAAATAATACAGGAACCCTGAACAGAAAATAATACAGGAACCCTGAACAGAAAATAATACAGGAACTCTGAACAGAAAATAATACAGGAACTCTGAACAGTAAATAATACAGGAACTCTGAACAAAAAATCTTTTTCATCCGAGTAGCAGCTAATTATTCTGAAAACAATTGAAATCATCATTACATGTGTATGGAATATTTAAAAAGACCAGAGCTATGAACTTTTGAGCTAATAACCGATAATCCCGTTTGATTGATATCGATACCCTTCTATGCAGAATCTACTTGGTCTCGAGATTTTGGATATCCGAAATTTCTCTAGCTAGGTTGAACGCAAAATTCCCTGGCTTCTGATTGGCTGCTAGACACTCCTGACTAGAGATGGACATATTTTTTTTGAACAAACAACATTTTTTTTATAAAAGGGGGTCGTTCAGAAAAAAACGAACAATGGATGAGCAAAATGGATTGTTCAGAGAAATCAAAAAAAAATGTTGAACGAATGATAAAAAAATGATTTTACTGAACGACAGTTCAGTGAGAAAACGAACGAAATAGATGGAAAATGAACGAACATTTTTAGACCGAACGAAATACATTTTTTTGAGCGATTGAAAACGTAGGAAAAAGGTAATTCACAAACGATATACGAACGAAATAAAAAAAGCCGAACGCACTCATCTCACCAATCAGGATCAAGCATTGATCAGTCTCGATATCAACAATACAACAGGTTCCAGCTCAAAAAAAAAAACAAGAAAAATAATAAAACTGAGATGGAATTTAAAGAATTTGAGCCGCGGTTTAAATCCGCCAAAACCCGGTTTAAATTTAGCGCCGGCTTAAATCTTGAAACATTTGATACAATTTTCAGTGGAACCAACTATATTTAAGCCGCGGTTTAAATTTAAACCGCCGCTCAAATTCTTTAAATTCAGCCACTGTTTACCACCAACCTGTAATCTGTGAGTTTGAATTTTTTCATTTGTTTCTGCCGGTTGAGTTCCAGGGTTTGCCTAGTAGAAGAATACATAATTCTAATAATGTTTTTTTTTTTTTTTATCAAATCAGCTGACTTTAATATGACGTGAAAAAAACTATTCAGACTCTTCATTGGCCTCTATCTAAATATACTTCACAGGACCAAATTAACATGTCAAATAGGTCTGTATCCGACATTCTTATCAATATATCACAAAAATGTTCGAAGCCAACAGCTATTTTCTCTTAGTTACATTATACTTGTGTATGTTAAAATTATTATTAATTTGTTATTGTAAACTCGTGCTGTACACAAATGTGTATTTTAGCAATTATCTTATCATATCTTATTCTCAAACAAATTTAATTTTATATTTAAGTTATACTTTTGGTTTTGGTTTTATTTTTGAATAAAAAATTATAAATTTGATGAAATTAATTAATACTACTTTTGGTAAAAAATATGGGTCATATTTTTAAACTTAATAGTTTTAGTAATGATTTTGTTAGCGTTTTAATTTCCCCGCCCCGCCAATTTTTATTTTCATCGTTATTTTTTTACTTTTAATTAAATTGTTTCACATTGAAAAGTTAATATTGTTATTAGTAATATCAATCACCCGGACTAACCAGAGTGAGAAGCATTCGATTTCTTCGATTTGAAATTAAACGTGCTTTGGTCTATAATTCAACAATCTTTTATGTTACGGATCTTGGTTACAAAATACTTTTTTATTTAATTGTATATGCCGACAAAAAAGTATTTAAGAAAAAAGGCTAACAAATATGCTAAAGGGGTCAAATTGTGATCGAAAGTCACAGCTTTCTGAAGTATTGGCAGAACCGTTAAATACATGTGCGCCTGATTCTAAGGTTACGCATTAAACTTTTATCTCAATAATTAGGAAGATATCCTTTTTTCTCGCTTTAAAAGTGCTTGATTTTATTAATCTCCTGCATTGCACCTAGGGCTGGGCGCGTTCCTGGTGGAACGATCGTTCTTTCCCGAGAACGATCAAGAACGATCCCATTCGTTCCGAAAAAAACGAACACTTAGAACGCGTTCTTAAAAATATTGGAACGATTAGTAAAAGAAGGTAACGTAACGGAACGGGAATTGCTTGAAAAGAACGGTTAAAATCGTTAACGCGTTCTAAAACGTAATTTTATTTCTAGCGCTTCATGTGGCATATTTATAGATTTATTTTCAAAACTGAGGAGCAATAAAGAAAGCTTTAACATTTGTACACCATAGGGCCATTAACAGAGGTCAATATGGTCTTATTTCTAAGAAAAAACGATTTAATGTTACGCTTTTTTGTCTGATTACCTGTTGAGGTGGTGGAGATTACAAATTGAGAAGCGCGCATGCCTCAAAAAAACGTTTGGGTGGCGGTGATTACCCATGCATAAAGGACTTTCTGCACTCCCCCCCCCCCCCTGGTATAGTTGAGAGAATTAATGTAATTAGTGTTTTACCTGTGCAGCATGGCAGAAAGCGGTCGAGGACTGGCGCTTTGAACTGAGTTTTTTCTCAAGAAGAAAACAAAATCTATAGCTTTCCTCCTAAATGTAACATTAAATAACAACCAATCCTGGAGGAGGGGGTGGGGGTAGATGAAACTTTAGGAATAGGAGAGCTCGCTAAATTCCCCACATCCGGTTCAAATCCTGAATTTTACCGATTTAAATCCTCATGAACCTTCAATTTTGAATCGATGATTCAGGATATAAACCGGCGGTAGGTATAGTTCATCTATCTTTTCAATAAATTCCTCTATAGGCTACCCGTTACCCACAAAAGATGAGACTTCAGAAACTGTACATGGGTTATTCAGTTTAATTTAGGTTTTCTTTTTTTGACACTTTTGACGAGATTCTATTCCATGTGGTAGGTCGAGTTTCATTTTCAAAAAGGAATTGAGTCTTTGACACAAACTCTTATTTTATAAACATTATATCTTTGTAAACCCCAATCTTGTAGACCTTAGATGTTTTAGACTGTCTTGTTAGATCAAATAGTCTAAGCTTGAAATATTAAAGATTTACATCATCAGGTTGCAAATATACAGGGATTACAAATTTGAATTTTTTGGAAAGGTTCAATTCCTTTCTTTTTTTTCGGAATCATAGATAAATCAAAATAACATATAAGTCACTAGATGTCGTCTTTTCAAGATTTGGATAAAACTCATTCACAATAATCCTGAGGCAGAAGCCCAGAGCAGTTTCCCGCAGTCGGCGTAGAATTAAAAGACAAAGAGAGCCTGTTCTACGCTGACTAAGCAAAACTCCGCTGGGCTTCTGCCTCAGGGGGTTATTGTGAACGAGATTCATGCAAGCCTTGAAAAGACGACATCTAGTATCCTATCTGGAATTTTAATTAATCTTTGGTCGGAATTTTTTTTTTGTACTTTTTATTAATTCGTTTACCTGATTTCTTTATTTATAACAAAAATAAGAATTGGAACCAGGGCACAGTGGATGTACCTAATCATAGTAAATATTTTAAAGGGACTATAAGCTGAATTTCAAGTGATGAACCTCTATGGAAAGTTGGCTAAGCCCGATTTACAACGGTACCCGGTAAGTATTAATTAGATATCCATGTTTGTGTTTTTTTAAATTGTTAATTTTTTGATTTTTGGTTTCTCTGCAAAGTGACTTGCGCACATCTTGCTTTTAGGAAGCAATTGAGAAATCATCAGAATTCAACACTTTGCGTGAAACTGTATTTAAACTTAATAGAAAATCCTTATTTTGCAAACAATCCTTGCATTATAAGAAAATGATCTGGTTTGGATTTTATTCGAAAAGAGAATTTGAAACGATTACAGTTACACTGAGTTTTAATTAAAAGTTTTTAATCATCCAAAACCTAATATTTAACCTAAATTAGTTATAAACTATAACAGTGAGAACCAGAAAACTGTAGAATAGAAAGACGACATTAAAGATATGATAAATAATTTGATGTTTTTACAAAGCAAATAGTATTTCTAGTAACTTATTTATTTAAACGGATTTGTTTGCTCTGCATTGGAATTGTTTCATGTTTATTGAACTATTTAAAGTCATAACTAGAGTGTAAATGCCGTCTTCCTATTCCAGAGTTTTATGGTTTTTACTGTACAAATGTACTTTTAACAATTCGTTTTTTTACTGAACGAACCAATTTACTGAAATATTTTGAAAAAAAAGAAAGAACAGTTTTTTTGATGAAATATCAAGTTATTACACCGTTTTTGTGAATGAACGAATTTTTTCATGAACGATGGTTTCGTTTAGAAAAAAATAGCCCTGGACGAACGAACGACTTTGATTATTTAGAGAAATTTAAAAAGCAACTTATTATAAAGGAGGACCAATAAAATGAAAAATGACTTTTCAAAATCATTCAACCGATCTTGATCGTTCATGAACGATGTATGAATCGTTAGTTCAAGCGAACTTGAAAAAACTATCTTTTTTTCTGAACTAACAATTTTTTTCAACAAATTTATGAAAAAATTTCTGTTAATTTTACGAAAAGAGCAAAGAACAAACGATTTTACTGAACAATTATTCAGTGAGGAAACGAACGAAATAGATGGAATATGAACGATAATTTTGAGAAATCAATTTTTATGAACGATTGAAAAAAACGAACGAAATGGGTTGTTCAGTGTTCACGAATGATGAACGAACGAAATGAATAAAACCAAGCCCGCCTCATACCTCATCCAGATAAATGTAGTTTGAACCACCTCTATCCCTGTCTGGATCTCAGGAACCTCCCAATAACTACTCATTCGCTGATAATAAAAATAAAGTTAAGCGAACCTATTTCTAAAAATGTTTTTGTATTATTTAAAGCTGAACTTGAAATTAAGTTTTTCTAAATTATTTATCTCTATAGAGATAACTTGTTAAGTACAGAGGATGTTTTTTATAATCACATCATTTCTCTGACAATATCATAGGCGATTTTATTAATAAAATGAAGACGACTTTTTATTTAAGTTTTAATTGAAAACAAGATAAAGAGAATCATTTTTAATTGACAGCTTCTCCTTGTTTCCATGTTTATAAACTTGATACAAATCATAATTTATATCGAAAGTCGCTTAACACAGTATATGAATTGTTATACAGGGTGTCCCTAAAAACATGAGAATTCAGTGACGAATTCGAAGTCGTCTTTGTTATGAATTAGCATTGTAATACCTAATTTCAAAAGCCATAATATTATCATGTCTGCCATAGTATATTTTATGAAAAGGGTAAAAGACTGTAAAGGTATGTCTAATGTCTCCGCACGATGAACAATGAAGACGGACAAGTTTACTCTGTTCGTATAATGCAATTTTCCTGTTTTACTAAGTACAACCGCGCGTATGCAGTTAAAACATAAACAAACAAAATGTGAGCATAGCAGACGAAATTCTTACGGATTACAGCTTTCTCAGTAGGTATCACTATACTAAATCAAAGAATTATTTGAAAAGACGATATCGAATTCATCACTGAATTCCCATGTTTATTGTGAAACCCTGTATGCACCATTTAATATATTTAATTTATTAAACTGTGAACAGTACCTGTGTCAGCGTAGCATTTGCTTCTGTTGATGCAGACTTTAAAACACTCTAAATAAATTAATAAAAAAATTTAATGAAATTTAGGATGATTAAATAAAACCGTGTGGGAACAAAATTTAGAGAGTTCAACGCTCTTAAATTGGGATTAAAACGTGATTGATGTCCCATAGGACATGTAGTTTTTGGTCCCATGCACTCCCACAAGGATGTATGGAAAAATGAAAGGATAAATAAATGAATGAATAGTGGCAGGGCTGGGCGCGTTCCCTTTTTTTAAATGGTTCGTTCCTCATTCGTTCTTATTCTAATCTTTCCATCTCCATTCCATTCTATTCTTTGTGTTCTTGATCAAGAACGGTTCCGAGAACGGTTCCAAGGAATGGGTTGGAATAGGTTGGACTAGGTTGGAATAGGTTGAGGGGGGAGGGACTGAGCGGGGAGAGGTTGGATGAAAGGAGACAACACGGCCATCAGCCAACCCCATCAAACTGACAAAATTTCTACAAAATTCTACAATGTTTACTCATTTCTGTTTATTTCTAGATGATTTAGAATGTGTTCCTGATAGAACGATTCTAGGCCGTTCTTTACAACTTATTACCGTTCATTCCACGTTCGTTCTTTTATGGTTCTTTCCAATATTTTTAAGAAAGCGTTCTGTATGTTCTTTCTTTTTTTCAGCACAATGGCATTGTTTCTGATAATTCCGTTCGGTTCAGAGANTGCAAATAAAATTAAACTTAATACTTTAATGATCAATCTAATCAGCGGATTTACTAATAAATCAACTAGATGATCAATCTAATCAACGGATTTACTAATAAATCAACTAGCTGATCAATCTAATAAACGGATTTACTAATAAATCAACTAGATGATCAATAAATTAAATCAAATCACAAGTTGCAGGGAAGGATTGCCTAATATCAAATGACCAAATGATGAATTAATAAATATGATGATTTCCTAAATCGTATGGGGACCAGATCTGTCGGATTTGATCATACTGAAGGCATCAAAGCATAAAACAGCAGGAAAATTACTACTCAGCTCAACCCAAGAACCTGGGGCCAGGGAGGGAGGGGAATGATAATTTTATTCTTAATAATTACTTGACTTAAAGTGACAAATGTAAATTTAAGTCCTGACATTTTTATGACTGAACATATTTCAACTGTTTGTTTACTTTTCAACTTGTAAAAAAGTGTGCTAGAAATCAGAACTTAAATAGAAAAGTCGTCTTTATCGTATTTGTAGAAAAGCAGACTATCGTATGAAATGTTCTATCTATGAAATGTTTTAACAACTTTCAAGATAAGTCTGTCTTATCTATTTCTTTAATAGATCAAAAATACTATTTATGTACAGTGTCTCGCGAAACATGACAGTTGGTAAATAGTTTTAAATGTTTTAAATATTTTGTATATTTTACTTTGAAATGAATTTTACTATAAAATTACTCCTATATAATATTTTATCATTGTCTTTTTAAACAATTATAAAAATTATGGAAGAAGACATTCTAAACTATTTACCAACTGTCATGTTTCATGAAACACCCTGTACGTCATTGTTAACCATTCTTATGAGAGAAAAGAAGGAAATAGATAATGAGGGGGAGGTAGGGGGGGGGGG